ACAAGTCATCCTGCTAAAGAGTGGATTTAAGATCAGCAGCTCCACTGGGTTTGTTCTAACTTCATTCAACAATTGACCAGTAAATCTCAGAAATGGGCATCCTCAAAGTGTACAGCTGTACACACAAACACACAAACACATGTACACATGTACACACAAACACACGTACACACAAACACACGTACACATGTACACACGTACACACACACATCAAACCACTGAGCCACTGGGTTCTCACATATTCTAACGCACGTACACAATCAGTGGAAATCAGTGTTTGTAACAAAATCAAGCCTCATTTACAGATTGCCAAGTAAACAAATAAAGTTTGTTTACAGTAAAAAAAAAAAAAGGGAGAACGATGTTAATGGTAAATGTTGTATACACAAGTGTATGTTGTAATTTTTACTTAAAAATTTAAAGAAATCAATTTAAAATAGAAGAAATAATAAAGATTTGTCATCTCAGATCTGTATGTGTGTGTGCGTGTGTATTGGGTTCAGAGGAGCAAAAGACATGATTGCATGTTGATGCTGCCCTGCACAACTTCCTCTTCAGAAGCGGATGTCACAGCCGGCTCTATTGATGCCTCTTACATGTCAACACACGCACACACGCACACGCACACACACACACACACACACACACTGATAGAGATACCAGAAATGGGGCAAAAAGTTTGTTTGAACAGGCAGCTATCTGAACACCAAAGGAGCCAGCTCATGTCAAATTTACATTAAGGCTGGAGGGTGCGGATATGCATTAATTCCTGAATATAAAAGGACAGAAAACTGATACAGTATGTGAGCGTGCACGTCGCCTCAGGCAGTATGGGTGGATCTGGTAGCTGTCTGCAGAAATCCAGATAAGGATGTCAAATGACAGTGCTGTCCTTCGTGGCGTGACACCAGGGGCAAAACAAACCAGCTGTTATGGGAGTGCCCGGCGTGGCCCAAATCTGAGCCCGGCTGTTGTGGGCACGGTAGCACAGCAACGGGTGCAATTAGATGCAGTCTGTGTCCACAGCTGGAAAACTCACTCTCACACACTTGTGCATTAACGCCCAGTGGTCACACACCCATATACACATGCAAATAATCAGCTACACAGAATGACATCAAAAAGATTATTAAAAAGTACACACACATGTCCAGGCTAATGGGATGACACAAGCTGACTTTTTCTTTACAGATTCCATTGAATTATTATGATAATTCACTTTGACTAATTAATAAACTTGGCCTCGTGCTTTTACTCAGATTAAATGTGTGAAATCACAACATAGAATGATAATGACAGTTGACTGTAACACAGGCTGCAGAAAAGTTAATCATAGTTGGATTGTCATAAGCAGGCCCCTAAAACAACAGGCTGTATGTTGTTTGGTGCTGTACCAGCATGTTGCCTGCAGACTCTATAGAGGAGGGCCATGTTTCTTTCCAATATTCTTATAAAACAAGCTGGACTATTTTGACAGTAACAAACATGGGAGCTGCTGTGCAGATATAACCTATCCTTCTGTGGTGATGCTGCAGTTTACACTTGTCTCACCTCTTTCAGTAGATAGTGATGTTAACATGGACAGCAATATTCCAACTGTTGACCTTATACAGAATCAGACATTATTTAATTATGGTGTTTACATTAGTTGCTAACAGAGGAATCCATTTAAATGTTATGATTATGGCTCACGTCATTACGACCTCTACACTGGCCAGTTTTAAAGCACCAACCTGAAAAGGTTTAGTGTACGAGGCTACCGTATATCATTTTGGGTGATTACTTCAACAACAATTTTTTATTTTTCTTTCTTGTTTACACTGAGGGAATGTGTTGAAGCAGCAGTAACTGCTCTGGAAACTCTATTAGAACTTTATAATGTGATTAAGATGTATACATGACTACAAAACGTGACTACGGTCAGATTACTCCATGTCGTAATTTGATCATTGCTTATTCCGAGTATGATCTTATGCTGGTTAAGATTATCAGAAAATGCTGTTTACATGGCAGTATCTTATTCAGACTATCTCTTAATCTGTTTAATATCGGAATATTGGTGTCCATGTAAGCATAGTCATTGATGCAGTTTGAGTATATTAGCACAACATATGCATGAATCACCAATTACCTTAGCTACTTACATTTTTCTTCACATATCAGCAGGTATCCGTTACAGTTTCAGTGTATTCAAGCAGTTTGCTTTAAGGATGCTCTGTCTACTCTCACGCTGTGACAGCTGCACAGCTGCAGTCTGGCTACGGCAGGGAGATTCAAGGAAGAACAAAAAGCTTCTTTAGCACGAATTTGAAATAAAAAATACAAAAAAACAAAAGGTTTCTATTTAGGAACAACATACACCCATAATAAAATATGAGTAACTATAATCACATTTTCCAGGAGTGACGAACATATCAAATGTTCAATGATTAATGGCAGTTTGGGTGTTGGCTACTTGTGGTTTTCTATACCATGTCAAAATTGACATTTTCCATCGGTTTTTTTGGCCCATCAGATACGATCAGGGTGGATGGAGTAATGGAGAGGTAGAGAAAAGGAAAGAGGAAGAATAGCGGGAGAGCCAGTCCAGTACCTTGTGGAATTCAAGTGGTGTGTGGAGAGAGAGTCCTGGACCGATGCCACGAGCGGGCAGGTCAAAAGAATGCAAGAGAGAGAACAAGTATTCTGCTGCTCGTAACTCTCGTTTTAGCGTTGCAGTTTGTTTCATTAATTTGTTTTTACTAGAAATGAAAAAGACTGGATGGTTGGAGAGTCTTTTATCACCCTGTATGACTAAACTAACTAAAAACAAGAAATTGAGTGATGCAGTGGAAGAGCTTTGCCGAATATGGTAACAACTGTGTTCCTCTGTACAAAAGGTTGCTTAGCTTTTTGTTTTCAAGAGAGCACAGAGAGGAGAGTGCAGAGCAAAGCCAGAGGCCAGAGATGGAGTTGAATGACAGGGGGGACTGTATATCTGCAGGGAACAGAAGAAGGGGAAAGAAAGCCCATTAGACAAAGAATACAGTTTAAAAACAACATCCACGTCTATGAGAATCAACACACGTACACTCATTTATCATTTCTTGTCTTGTTTTTGATTGTTGCCTATATATTCTTTTCTTCTATTTATCTGTACTTTTGTAAAGCACAGCTGTTTTGGTCTGTATTAACATAGAGCTTTTCTAGTCGATGACCACTCAAAGTGCTTTACAGTACAGTTTTACATCCACACATACATTCATACAGTGCATATATGAGATGGGGCAATTTGGGGTTCAGTATCTTGCCCAAGGACACTTATGCATGGGGACTAACTTGTATTTGCCAGCTGGTAATCTGTGTTTCTCTGTACCTGCAGTTCCTCAGCCTGACTCCTGCCTCAGCTCAGGAATCCAGCCACCACCCGGAACTCTCTTTGGACCACCTCTGCCTCATCCTCACCACCAAGCCCTCCTGATGTCCTCTGATCTGGATCCACCCTCAGATCGACAACCAGCTCTGACACAGTTCAATCATTCCACCTTATACTGTTATTACTATCCTGTCTCTGTGTTCAGCTTTTCAACTGATATGTCTGTGCAAGACTCATATAGTCTGAGCAGATTTATTGGACAGGCTCCAAGTCTTAGGTACAGTGAATATGTAAAATAATAGAAAGATCTTGTCCCAATTTCTATAATGGCATTATCAATCTCAAAAATAAAAATAATAATTTGTTTAATAAAATCGAAATCCTCTCTGTGCGACACTTTCAAAAGGAACAAACTGTAAAGCTTGTGCTTCATATTTAATGCACACCTATGAGAACACATTCTAAAATGCAGCCAACATAAAAGCTCATAAAAGGAGTAAATATGATACAAAAAAGATTCAGTGCAAGGGCTGTGATGTCAGAAGCCTTCAGTGCACATGGCTGTCACTTAAAGGATGTTGCAGATCACTGTGGCAGATAGAGACTTATGTGTCAACCATATACATTTAGTGACAGGGAACAACCACATGTACACAAAACATCAATTACAAGATAACCTCTGTGTGGGTCTTCCACAGCAGTCATTAAGCCAAACAGGAAGCCACATATTAACTCAGCCGCGGAGATCATGTGATCATGTTCACAGCCCCCCCAACACCCTCGTCAGCTCTAACACCACAAACTCTCTTGACATCTTCATCAATGTCTTCTACTTGTATGACACCACTTTTTCACCGGGAGATATTTGTTTCCTTTTGTTTTTTGTTAGAAGAGTCATCAACCCCCCCCACTTACTCATGGTGAGGGGGATCCCCTGCTGTGTTCACACATCTGCTTCTCCTGGATTTCTAAGGACATTATACTGGAAGGCCAGGCAGAGAAAGTCCACAGAAACTGTAGAGCGTCTCACTCGGACATTTGCATGTCAGAAAGCAGCTTAGGTGAACACTTGTAAAAGATGACAGTGGAAACACGTGAAAACACCATGTGCAAGAACTGGTCTGTTTAAAAGGCTGGAGGAATAGATAGAGGGATGGAGGGTGAACTGTTGTTGCAATCATGAGCATGCTATGCTACAGCAAACTGACAGAGGAAGCAAATAAATCACATTTTGATGAACTCATTTGTATGAGTGGGTCAGCAGGAGGAAGCAACATCGTCGAAAATCACACAGCTACAACAGCAGGGAATTCTCAACCTTCTGAGGGCATGTGGCGACAAGCTCTCAGTACCTTAACATGTCCTACATCCAACTGAGAGGGATTTCTTTGTCATTTCCCTCAAGACTAGAGGGATAATCCCCTTTATAACTCTCTGTACCTGGTAAGGCCTCGGCCCTCGAGAGCCTCTTTAACCCTCGAGAGAGTTCAACAAAACAACTTCATTTAGAGAGCAGCCTGAGGGGCTCTGCTCCTGAAGGCCTTTACGATAATGACAAGTTGGAAAAATCTGTATAACGTGGATCAGTCAGAGCAGGGTGATGTAACTCCAGAGAAAAGCAAAGGGAGAATGTTCTGGGACTTACTGAGCTTTGTCCTTCACCACTGGCAGGGGAATGTCCTCACTCATGTAGTCGAGCTCATCGGTTAAGCTGTTGGCGCGGGAGATGTCAATGGAGGTGTTATCGTGATTCCTCCTCACTGCAAAGCACAAAAATCATGTGTAATATTACAACACATGCATTTTGGGCTTATAAACTATATACAAACTCAGATTTGCTTTATTTAAACTGACAAAATGTTTTTTCAATTAATTAAATTTTGATACAAAGAAAAAATATATAGTTGTGTTAAAGCCCTAAAACTACCAGGTACAAAAGTGTTAATTTAATCTTTTTTGCAAATAGTCTTGTATTCTACAGGACTTTTTCACATCAGAGAGAAGATATCTGATGTTTAGTTGAATAAAAGTGTGTTGCATTTGAAAGCAAAATAGTCAGATGTGTGTAAATAAGATAAAAGCAGACACAAAGAAATGACAGATACCTGGAGAGCTAGGGCAGCTCAGAGTAAAAGACGACCAAGAATGATGAGGAGGGCCTGACGTCATGCAACAATAATAAGTGGAGAAAAGAAAGACAGAAGAAAATAAAGAGGACACAAAAAAAGTTGGAATAAACACAAATGACCTCAGTTACCTCAATTCTAAACTAGAATGGCAATGAGTGGATCGATACCTCCACCAGGGCCCAACAGTCCCCTAAAATCTAACCAAGCTGCACCAGATTGCACACATCCATGGATATCATTCCCTTAATATTTTTTTCATCAAGATCCCTGAAAAAACAGTCACTGATCTGCTGCCTCACACACATCTGTTGTTCAACAGGGAGCGGGTCTGCTGCGGAGCTGCGACCTGAGCTGGTATCACTACTTCAGTTCAGTCACACAACTCACGTTCAAATGTTTATTGCAACAGTAGAACATGTTAGTGTTTGGTGTCTAGGCTCCGACTTAATCACTCCCCCAGATATGATTACATAGATATGATGGGAGTGATGAGCAAATATTTATAACCTTGAAGCCAAAAGGTGGATGCTGGGGTGTTGGAGGGGCTAAAGCAACTGGCAGCAATACTGACAGGGCAAGCAAAGGGGGCGATGGGACATTTTCTCTGAGAGTGAGGTTTGTCACATGATGTTTCTCACATGATTGCAGCAGAGTAGGCCGCCTGAACTAGCTCCTAAGCATTGTTCCATTTCCTGGAATAAAAGTAGCCTATGTACACAACTAAATGCGAGGACTCTACGAAATGAAACTGTGCATCTTCAGGTCCTGAACACACAATAAAGACGTTGTTAAAACAAAAAAATATGTCCCATCCCAAACAGCTCACACTCATGAGATGTGGCTGTGACACGTGGCTCCTGCAGGCAGTACAGCAGCTCTAACCTGATAACATGGGCGCTGAAAAAAACCCCACACGTTCCAGCGTGTGATCCTCAGTTTCATGGTAATCTATTCAGTTGTTATTCAAACATACAACCAGAGGTGAAAACATTCTCCTTGGCTTAGGTAATTAACATAAAGACTTATCTATATGTGGGAGGAACTTTTTAATTGATAATTTACTCAAGGAGACAACCATTGCAAGAGCCTGAATTGCAGCACTCCAGCTTAACCTTGCAGCTGGACGGCTGCTGGCGCGGCCAATAAAACGACAGCAAAGAACAACATGTGTCGCAGGGTCTTGACCTGCAGTCGGACCATCAGCAGAGTTTGACATGTCTCTCCTCCAAACCACCGGGCCTCCATTGTGACGGAGAATGGAGAGGCAAATCTGCGTTCATGAACAGAATGACCATTCCATTTCGAGTAAAAGCCATTCAGCCTCTCCTGTTTTCCATCATCGAGTTTGTTTAACATTGTCCAAGCCGGAAGAATAGACATGCAATAGAGGGGGGGCAGGGGAGAGGAGAGGGAGGAGGAAAAGTGAGAGAAAAAAAAGGTTGGGTGGGGGAGGTAATCAGAGCCACCTTTAGAGCCCCTAACTACAACTCAGTGAAGTAGACATGAACCTGCTTATCAGCTACACAAACAGGATAAGGGTTTATGGACATGTATGTAGTCTATCTGGACCATCAGTGCAAACTTGTTTTGGACGGGAGAGACTGAGCCGAGGGCAGGAGAGAGAGAAAAAAAACTGTGGGATAGAGCTATAGAGGGAGAGAGGAAGAGAGAGGGAGCGCGCCATTGAGAGATTCTCACAGACAGGGAGGTACGTGGGACCAGACAGATAAGTAGAGCGATAAGCCGGACATTGACCAAATCAAACAATGACCAGTTTATTTCTGACCACTGGTGCTCCACAATGGCCACTTATCAACTCCATAACCCCTCTGCCTCTCTTTCGGTGTCCCCGTCTAGGTCTCCACGGTCCCCACTAGGCCCCTGCCCCATTCCTATCCGGGCCAGCCATGTTCCTCCCTCACCCGTGGTGTTGGCAGGGCACCCAGAAAAGAAAACAGGCCAGGTCAACCCAGGACCAGTGTCTGACTCTCTCTCTCTGTCTCTCTACTTGGCTCTGGTTTGGTCCAGTTGGGGACAAAGGCTGAGCCAGTCAGCGAGTCTAATTAAAATACTGTCTGGGCCACATTAAAAAGGCAGGCTAGCTAATGATTAACACAGAGGAGTTTTTAATGAGAGAAAAAGAAGTACTTTACTTTTGGAAGGGACTGCTGCTCAGACAGAGCAGTGAACACACACACTATATACTCAGCCTTTGTGTCTGTCGTTTGGACAAAGAACAACCGGTTCATAAAAAGAGTCTCTCTTCTTGTTACTTGGATTTTATTGGCACAGTTTATACTTTAAAGTACACGATTAAGAAGTGGAAACTCGAGGGAGCTACCACAAGACCAGAGTTGACTAAAATATCTGTTGATAAAAACGATACATAACCCATTATAAAGATCCCCTTTCGTGCATCTCAGTATTAATGGGAGTTAGAAGGACTAACCTGTTTGTCTGAGCATTCTGGTGAGTCCTGAAGAGAAAAGAGAAAAAGGGTTGATATGTGAGCTCACAGCAATTTGTGCCGAAAACACAAATGTAATCAAGGATCTCTTATCACTTCCTGCTGTGAAACACAGCAGCATTTTTGTTGTACAATCATTTCTTAAATTTTAGGCCAGTTGACATTGACACATAAAAGAGGGATGCACAAATGAATTTATTTTTTTCATTTCAGGCACAGTAACTCCAGCTCCTCCTGCCTAAAACAAGGTTTCCGCTGAAATTCAACAGGTTCAATGTAAGACATTTTAAAGACCATAATTTAAGACCAATGTCATGTACAACAGAAATGAAGGAATATCAGAATTACTTAAACTCCCCTATAGTTGAAGGTGAAGCAGCAGAGTAGAGAATAACCCTTGAAACGCCACGTTTTCTCACAAACTATAGAGACAGTAGGTATCCATTGTCTTTCCCACAGCCAAGCGGTGAGATAAAGTCGAACCAGGATGCTTGCCGACAAACAGTTATCAGTTCAATGTTGGTCTTGTTTGTAGTTTTATTACAGTATGGCTCATATCTGTATCATAAAGAATGAACTACAACATTTCATTTGGACACATTACAAACTATGCATGCCGCCAAAAAACTCTTGGTATGCAAATGAACATGTAAACAACCACATAAGTAATGTTTTAAAGTATGTAAGACTTTTTAAGGCCTAAAATTCTGATAATTAAACTTTAGAGCAACCAAACTTAACAATACTAGCTAATTCATAAACAACATATAGTAAAATCCTAATTACACCAATTTGCTATTTAGACAAATGATTTATAGAAAATTCTGTTTTTAAAACCTAATGTATGCTGTGCTTACATGATGATGCATGTTCAGTGAGTAAAGAGCAGAACCATCTAGAACAGCCATTGTTTCCCCCCCTGTCTATTCTCGCTTGGGTTCTAACGTATATCTGGACAATGTTTAATTAGAATTGGCAACCGCTCGAGTCCACGGAGTTGAACAAATCAATTATAGAGGCTTGGTACTCGCTCTCATTAAAACTCAAAAACCTTTACAACAATATTCTACAGTAGTCACTGGCCTAGACCCATGGGATGGGGTGGCTGGGATGTGTCTGGGGTTTTTTTTACCTCACCATTTTTCTTTGATTTTTAATCATTGTTATTTGCTGCATATCCCGTGTATCTGTTATTATTTTCAAATTTTCACAAATAATAGCAATTTTTTTTTTTTTTTTACTTTCTCATCACTCTGCTATGTATTTTTAAGAAATCCAGGAGTCAAGCATCAAATTGAATCATTGATGAAATAAACAATAAATAAAAAAAGCAGCAACCAGAACCCAGAATAGAGACGGTAAAGATTCCTGTTTTATGGCTGGTTTAGCAAAGGTAATTTAGTCCAATGCTGTTTCACCTCAACACATTATCATTAGTGACAGCAGGCTGCAGATTTTGGCTTCTTCCATCCCAGCTTGTCCAATTCATTTTCCACTCCATAGTCTCAACCTGTCTGACCTTAAGTGAATACACAGACAAGTTATCAGAACATACGATTTACCTGTTGACAGCTTAATAAGGTGCATGTTATTGTATAGATATGTGCCTACTGGATGAAATGTGATATCTAACTGGTTTGGCACTTTTTTTCCTCTCACACTTTCCGCAAAACACATGTTTCCCTTCATCTCCATCTGAGATCCACCCACTTAGGCAGGAAACTAAACTGTTCCCCTCGTAAGTGGTTGATGTTTTAGTGATGGTCTGCCTTTATGTCACTCCAGCTGCTTTTATGACTGCACACTTTGACAGGAAAAACTCATTAAGTGCATTTATTAACATGCAGTCTGGGTCAATATATTTGGTAGGGTTGGCATTTTAACACAGGAAGTCAAACCGCCACCCCTTTAACCAATCAGCCATTGGTCATATGCTGTGTGTACAGATTTAATTCTTATGCATGCGAAATGTTTGTTACCCAAAACAAGTTTAGGGTAAGTGCTGAAACAATTAGGAATCTCTACGGGGCAAAATGCATATCTTAATAATTAGTGTATGCTCTAAAATTAACATAATCAATGAAGACAAGCTTTTCTCATAATCATGAAAAAAAGCTCTTGTCTTCGATATGATTTCACCAATATTAGTAAACTGCAAGTGCAAATTCCAACCTTGACAAGTCCATACAAGTTATTTTTTTCTACCCCAGCTCAGCGTGAGTGTCAGTGGCCAGCAAAGAGGACAAATGAAGCAGTAAAGAGCTTGTAACCATGACCTCTAATCACCACTGAGACTGTGATGGCTTCCATATGGCCTACTGGAAACACCTGGCAGCCATCTTGGCTCAAAGGGGGAATCAGGAGAAGGCCTCTGTTTACTGTGTGAAAATGAGAAACCAGCACATTACAACCCCTCCAATAATGTGTCATAGTCTAAACTGATTGTATAAACTGAGAGAAACAAACAAAGCTTAGCTCTAAATATAACATTCAAATAGACCCTCTATCTTGTAATTAGCTCTGTCAGGCAGAGGTGCTTTATGCCTTGTCTACACTACTGCAGATCATTTTTGCAAAGATATTCTCATCCTCGTTTTAAAAGAAACAAAACACCAACCACACGACCGTCGTCAACATAAGAAGACAAAAGTGAATACAAATGCTCAAACGAGCATGATGGGCCAGTGGGTGGCGATAAAGTCAATGTTAATGATCTGTCGAATACTAGAGAAGAACGCTGCGGACCAACTAATATTGGGAAAGGCAGACAAAAAGTGGTGTAGTAATGCGAAATGCTAAAAAAGCAGTGTTAACCAAATGGAGCAAGACTGTTCTCCAGTTGCTCTTGTTGTTGTTTGTAGTGAAGGCTCATTACACACAGCAACAGTGGATTGCACAAACAGTGACGTCATTGTTTCCCAAACGCTCCATTTTACCTGAAAGCACACAGTTTTTGTAATTGCTGTCATCACCAGATTTGCTCATACATGTGTCTCACTAATATCACCACAAAGACTGAGATGAAAGTTATTGTTATTTATTTATTCATGATAATGATCTCTTGTGGCAGCAATGAGCCCCTATGCTCTAAGTGTGGTGTTGAATAGGCCCCCATCTTTAGCTATTTTTTACTGTCAGATCTAACGTAGTGTGACAAAATAAGACGCTGGCCTCATCGTTTATAGCTCTTGTGGTGACTCTTTAACTCTAAAAGAAAAAAATAATGTTTTATTAGGTCTGGCAAAATAATTATTTAGAGAATTTTATATTAAGTTAATCTACAGTATTTATTTTTAAAACCATTTAAAATAAAGACGGAAAACACTTTCCAAGACAATAGTACAAGCTGAAAGCCAATTTTTCTAAAGCTTGGCCATAACAAATGTCATTCCCAAAGAGTTGTTTTGGCTACTTCAATGCCCTGAATGCAAAAACACATGAAACTTCCATTTCCAAGGCTTTTAAGGCAGCATGAAATCATTTCATGTCCCTCGACATACATTATTTCATGAAACAAAACTATACTAAGAGGAACAAATTTAAAGGTGGGTTTCATCTCTGCAGTTCGAATGTACTCCACATGACATATGATACTTCATTGCCAACTGGCCTTAAACTGGATTAAAACAGCAAAGATAGCTGCATTACAATATTCAATGTCGTTGATAAATACTTTCACAGAGCTGGAGGCATCAAGTTCTGAATAACTACACTGCCGTCCACATTCAGATGAAGTCAGTTTGATTGAGCAGTGATTTAATGGGCCTTAGATCTTTTATTGTGAAATCGTGGTTCACTTGTCTGAGACTGAACTGTTGGAGATTTTTAACCGTCACTGTACTTCACACTAACAATGAGAACAGTACTATTCTCAGTTTATTACCTTCGACAGTCCCCCTCGGCTCTTCCAAGAAAAAGGTGACATCTTTCTTCTCCACAGAGTCATCGATGTGATCGTAGGTGATCTGGGGGATGGATATGGCTCTCTCTGACCCTCCACCCATAGAGCCATTACCCCTGGACTTCAGCCTCCTCTTGGTCCCCCTTTTCTGACAGAGGAAACATCAACACCCACATCAAAAAGGTTTGTCGAGATTATAATAATGATATTTAGTGAAATTACATTACTGGGATTATTTAGAGTTGATACCTTAAAATAACCGACAGAATTACATCCATCATCCAGCAACTGCAGTTGGATGCTCCCACCAACCAGTACAGTTCAGTCAAGATTTTTTTTTTTCCAGACTCATAAGATCACTGTGACATTTTCCTTTGACCACTTAATCTAATAAATGAATCCTTGGGTCCAACTGAATGCACAAAATTTGAAGAAATTCCCTTCAGGTTTTCCTGAGAGATCGTATTAACAAGAAGAGTGATGGATTGACGGAACTCAGAAACATAATGCCTCTGGCCGTTGGCTGTCGCCAGAGAGGCGGCATAGAAACACTGTGACGAACTGTCCTGTTGTCGTTAACATGAGATGATGTCACAGTCAAAAGAGAAGGTTTTTTGCCTTTACTTCACACTTTCCCTCTTAAAATTAGTTACATAAGCTGCTTATTATAGCTCAGCCTCTGTGTAGTTCACACATTGTATCACTGCCGACACTGCACCAGTCAGCCTGTCTCACAGTCCATCATACTGTATGTTCACGAGTCAATGAGGTCCTGATGATCAGGAACTCTCTCATTTACAACAGCAACTCCTGTCCAAGCTGAAGAAGACGTTCCAGTATTCAAGTCTGAATCTAATCCCAGCTACTTCATATTTGGGTACAACTGTACACATGAAGTTGATGAGGCAAAGGGATAAACGAGATCAGGTCATCAAGGTCACCTAACTCTCTGCTCCTTGCCTGCACAACAAAGATTCTGTAAAAACCCAAAGCCATCAAGAGAAAAAAAAAACACTGGACTTATTGACCTGTCTGTCATAGACACAAGTCACTTTCATTCATTTAATTTCATAGTTTCATTCTGAAAACAGATTGCCATGAGTTGTGCATGTTTTAATATTGAAGTGTCAAATCTTTTGATATAGACTGGAGACATTATTCTAAGATTTGGCCATTCACTTTACTTGCTAATGGATGATATTCTTGGAAGAATCAAACAAACCAATCCTGCCATATGAACGTGTTAATAACTCAAACTAAGCTAAAAACACTGATATACGCAAACACTCCGCTTTCTTGTATGTACCTGTGTAGTTCATATTGTTGTTATACACTCTGACTTCCAACCTCTGTGCTTGCATACTGTTGACAAGCTGTTTAATCTCAGTTTAACACATTGTTTTTTTTATACCCATGTCTCAGCCACTTTCAGGACCTCAATGGGGCTCCGGTCCAACTCTCAGACCAACCGACCCTCACCAACGTCATAGACGTGGCCTTTATAGAAACTCAATTATCTGGACTCAGTGGATCAGACTTTGGCATTGACTAGTGGCCAACAGTTCAGTCCAAAAACCCAACGTTTGAATGACTCATTAGGAGAGAGAGAGAGGTGGAGCAAGACTCAAAGGGGGAAAGGGAAAGGTATGAAGAAACTCTTACAAGTTTGAGAGACAGAAACAGAGAGATGGAGTATATATAAAAAGAAGGGAGGGATGAAAATCATTGTGAATGGGAGTGAGCAGGAATGAGATGAGGCAGAGCAAAATAGAGCGGGGACAGAAAGAGCAGAAAGGAGAGAAATATAGCCCATTAAACAGAGAAGAGACAGAAGCAAGTCTTGAATGAGGGTTAGGGAGAGGGAGAGGGAGAGAGAGAGAGAGGGGGAGAGAGAGAGTGGAAAATCAGAGGAGAAAGTCACAAGCTGAAACAGAAAAGAGCGGAAGCAGCCTTCGTTCTCCCCAATGCATGTGGGCTCAATGCTACACAAAGATTTTTTTGTTGTTGTTCTACTAGACAAAGGTTTACTCCCATGAGAAAGGCGGCGGTGACATCATCTCAACTGACTGAGTCTTTGTGCCGCCGAGACAAAGGCCTCAAGTCATCCTGGTGGAGTCAAGCCTTGGGAGGGAGAGGGGGGGGGGTGCTGTGTGTGTCCACAAGTGAGTGTGTGTGTGAGTGTGTGTGTTTGTGGGAACTTAACTTGCCCTTTTACGCTGCATGGCCCAGACACAACATAGCTAATATTGTTGTGAAAGGTGACATGCACATGGAAACAATAGGGTGAGGGTCAGACATTCAAAACCACAGCGTGCACTATCACAGTCTGATGACTTCTTCTGAAAACATCATGAGTTCTTGTTGTTCCACAGCTTCAGCTCAAGGGGTTCATTCAAATGTCTACCATAACTTATTGCTTTTTAAATGCAATACAAGAAATACCATGTCTCGATTTTTCATATTAAAATGGCATATCTAAAGTAAGAATGAACAAATAAATGGTAATTTGCCCAAAGTTTGGAGTGAATTATGTAAATCTCTGAATGGACATTTACCTCAGTGGACGGATCAAAGTGAAGAGACAGAACAAATGCAGGAGATAGAGAGACGAGGAGTCTCTGGTTGAATTTAAACCAAGGGCATTACAAGGTCAAAGACAAACTTAATATCTAATGGATATAATGTTTTTTTCTGTGTATAACTGGCCTGTCTTCTGAGAAAAGTAAATCAAAATCAGCTGAAAACTCACAAGCCACAAAATACCATTGGCTCAGGATTGAAGTTCAATGTAATAATTACCGATATGTGCAGTTTCCTAATGTTAGGACTGGAGTTGTCAGATTCCACTGTGGTGACAGCCTCTGGAGTCAGGACGTACATTTTCCATGTAGCAGCACAGCCACATGGTTTCTCCGCTGCATAACACCTCCACAGCGTCTGAGGAGGGCAGGTTAAAACATAGAGTTACTGTTAGTCAGTCCAGTTTTTCCCTCAACTCCCACAATCAAAATTGCCAGTGGTGCAGCAATAAACCAGGTAAATCGTGTACTACAGTTTTTGGTTTAACATCCTACATTTTCAGAACGTTGTTTTGATTGACTAATAGTATGCATCAATACTTATTTTTTTTTATGTAGGTTGTTTTATTTATGACATCACACACAAAATATTTAGCAAATAGTCATTGATATTTGTCAGTGTCCTGCAGACATTCAGGTAAACTCTCAGGTAACCCTTGTAATGGTTCGATTTCTGACACGGGATAACTACATCTAACAGTTCACCTCTGGCACTTCTGGTGCAGCTCACCTTTTCCACAGCTCAATGGGAATTTCCAGAAAACAAACACTACAACTTTTTCTCTGTTCAGTTTCCAAACTTTGCTGAAGTTTTTACTGCCAAGATCTGAGGAGTGCAAGTTTGCACCTTTCAAAAAAATAAAGATCAGATTTTGAAGCCATGTTCACGGTCCAATAAAAACATGTCCATGGGTCTGTTTACTGTCTGATCTGGTTTTTTAAGGATATCTTGTAGATTATGAAATGCTTGAATACATCACCAGAGCACACGCCAGCCCCTGCATTGGATTTCAGGATACAGGACATTAATATAGTGATGGATTCAAAATAGTTTAGTTTATATCTTTTATGAGGAAACCCAGATGCCCTTTGGTATTTCCTTAAATGTACAATATGCAGCTTCGGCCCCTACAGGTCTCTTTCCGTATTAAAGTCTTATTCCCTTATGCAGCAAAAGGCAATGAATAATCACAATTAATTACGAATGACCAATATAAACAGTGGGAGGAAAGAGCGCAGACTGGATAATTGGCTAGCATTGTCGTTTGCCCTGGAAGTTATAGCAGAGACCAGAGCCACAGGTAAAGTGGATATGATGCAATTAAAAGGCGACAAAAATGGGGATATCTCTGTGTTTGAACATTGTTGGAACACTTTGGATAATGTAATTACACAAGTCAACAAAAAATATAAAATAGGTTTAATCTTTCAACACATTTTAATGTTAAAATGTACCTGAATGAGAGAAGCTGCAGCAGGAATCTGTCTGTTGAAATGCTTCTGTCTCTGCTTCTGTTGCACCTTTAGGGCAAAACCTGATCCCAAGATACCCTGACAGGGGACAATTGAGGTGTAATGTATATATAAAATGTATATCACATTAGGTAGATACTGTGGATGGAGAATCTTACTCAGATTGATATTTTCAATCATTAAATCTGTACAGTACTAAAAATGATAAAGATAAAGCATCTTATTGTTCCTCATCACTAAGAGCAATGGGTCTACCAAGCTGATAAGGTTGGAACAAGTTTAATAAATCTTAAATGAAAGATTTAAATCCTGCTTATGAATCTTGGATTAAAATTATATTTACAGCTGGCAGAGCAAAGAAGGAGATGGCAAAGACGCTGAAGCAGGAGGCAATGGCCTTGCCGATCCACGTTTGAGGAATCTTGTCTCCATAGCCGATGGTGGTGACTGTCACCTATAGAGACAGAAAGGAAATTAAGTTCCTATTGCATCTATAGAGATTAACATATCAGAATATAGCTGCAGAATATAAGAATATAGAAAGATTTCCAAGATTCCTTTATTTATGCAAGAAAGACTTAAAGGTTCAGTCTGTAGAATTTACCCCCCTTCAATACATGAAAGAGAACCTACGAAAGGTGTTTAGTTTAGTTTGCACCGGTGAAAAAATCATGGTGGCCTCCATAGAGAGGACCTGCTCCTGATATAAATATAAAGTATTTAAATATAAAGGGCCCATTTTAGGGTAAAGAAAACAATAATTCAAACAATTTAGATGAAACACACTAATGAAATCACTAGGATTTTTATATATTAAATTTCTTCCAATAGATCCATTTCACCTAAATCTTACACACTGAACCTTTAAGACAAACTAAAGCTTTACGATGGCATGTTTAGGGAAACCAGAGAGAGTTTATTCAATATGCATTTCAAACAAAAGTCAGACTAAAAACATAGTCTGTACTTGTCCTGACAAAAGGAGCCCATGAGAAATCTTTTAATGAAATAACTACTGATATGTTTTATCAATGTAGAGTTAATCTCAGGATATGTTATGATAACTGTATTTTACCCCACATGGACCTGAAATATATGTGAACAATTTGTTTCTATTCAAACTTTATTCAAGAGCTTTACTTCTTTGAGTCTTCTACGGGCTGTTACTGCAACTGGTTTCACACAGTGGCACCCTCCATGGCTTTATTATTACACCAGCTTCCCATCAGAAGTAAAGCTAACACACCCACAACAAGGGTGACACAATTTCATTCATCATCACTACACCTGGCATTCTATTGTTTGATGAATTTTGACACGCACACAGAAGCGGCATGACTGCGAACACAGGCAAGCTGTCATAGCAACAAAATATCTGAGTGCAAGCGGACAGTTTGAGCACAAGCAGAGTATACCTAACCACAAGCGTGTGAGCTCAGGATTTGGAGAGAAACCTAATCAAATGAATGTGAAATCAAAAGTCCTGCTCTCAAACTTAAAGAGCAGGCTCTTGAATAAAGAGAAGAAAAAAAAACCCATATTAAACAGACGAAGATTAAAAAAAAAAAGATGCCTCTCATTTCTAATAAAAGCATCAGTCAGTGCAGAGCTCTCCGAGGTTTACCTCCGTAGTCTATCACAAGAGTTAAACAACAAAAGAAAGTGTTCATCAGCTCCATTCTGGGCCTCGGCTCCACGAGCGTCAGCGGTGGCCGGGGCATTTCAGGCTCCTGCTCCTCAAAAGGGAATAAGATTCCCGACCACTAATCCTCGGCGAGTGTAGGAATTTGCTGGGGTGAGGCGGGAGTGGGGTGTGTGGGTTGGTTGGGGGGGGGGGGGCAAACAAATGCCTCTTACATTTGCATGTACACCCACTCTGAAAGCCAAGCCAATTCTGACACATTCAGAACGCGCTGCAGTGGGTGTCTATAGGGTGTCACTGTGGTACGCTAACAAAGCAGCTGATGTAAGGTGAGATACTTAAAAAAGCTTTGGGAGTTTAAAAAAAAGAAGAAGGAGCTGAGGCAGGGGGGTACATGTGCATGTGTGTTTGTGATTGTGTGATTGTGTGTGTGTGTGTGTGTGTGTGTGTGTGTGTGTTGGGGGGGATGGGTGGAGTAGAGGGGGTTGTGGTTAATCCCTCATCCACAAATCCGATGACTAAACAATGTCCTCCAGACCATCAGAGTGGAATGGTCTGCTCAAAAACACCCCTCTCATTCAGACTGTAGGGTGTGTGGCACAAACCTCTTCATGTCGACACAAGAGGTCACAAACCAGTTCTTTGAATATGTGCACGTCTGTATGCAAACACAAACAAACCCTGCCCTGATCTGCATGTCGTGTACACTGTATGTGCCATTACACTCCATTCAAATTGTACATGATCGCATACAAACAAATGGCAAATTTAGTGTGTCACACTTTAAAAAGGGACACTCATGAAGTTGGATGTGAAGGTTGAAAACAAATTTGCCAAAGACAAAGAAAAGCAGGGAAAGTTAAGCAGAGGGCGAGAGGAACGGAGGGAGGAAGGGAGGGAGAGTGAGAAGAGGAGGGGATATGAATCATGGCGTCGGCTTGTCCTCCAGCTGTGCTCTGCACCTGCACGTCCGATTGTGGCAAAGGAGAGGGAACATGCAGTGGGAGAGTTTAGCATTCTACAATCAGCGTTATCTCATTTCAGTAAGCGCACGCACGCGCACACACACACGCACACACACACACACGCACACACACACACACAATAACCTGACCATGCTGCCTATTATAACAGCTATTGTATTGCTCTCAAGTTTACAGTCTCAGAAAAACAAAAAGGTGCAAATACCAGACCGTGATTCTTTTCTCGACAATTGGAACAGAGCAACACAAATAAGAGCTTTTCTTCCACTAGTGAGGAGCACTGTGACCCCTCTAACCTTCGTTACACAAAGGTAGTAATCCCACAATTACAATTTTAATTAAGGGACCTGACACTTTATATTGGTGCTTTAAAAAGTGCTTTGAGCCAAAGAGCTCAGAGGTGAATGGTTTATTACCGTCTCTTTGTGGCGCACTGATCCCCTGCACAAGGCTGCCATAGGTTTCTTATTACTCTGCGCTTTTAATTCAAATGTTTAATTAACTGCTCTGGGAACCCGAGCCTCCGCACACAGAAGAAAAAAGACGAAAACAGCTCCACTCACGAAAAACATCTACACACCTGACTGTGTTGCACCAACATGTGCATGCTGCACGTAAAACACAATGAAGAGAACTTGGGGGAAAAAAATGGTTTATAACTGGTCGAACTAGAGTGGCCACCCATCTCCATTTCTCCAGCTAAGACTCCACTTGAGTGCTCATTGTACATATAAGTTGTTACAGCTCTTCAGAAAGAGGATTTGCACGTGGAGCAAGGAGCATTCAAGGATCCCAGTAATATATGCATAGCGGAATTCTGAAAATATGCTCATACAAAAACATCATTGAAAGACTAAACAACAAAGAATTACAACAGATTTCTTTTGCTAGATTGTCCGCCTTACCACGCCCCACCACAGGGCATCAGCGTAGCTGGAGAAGCCCGTCTTGCCCTCCTCATCCACAGCATCCTTCTCCGCCAAGTAGACAAAGTAGGACGAAAAGATCAGGCCCAGGAATCCGATGTACAGAGTAGTGATCAGCTCCTGGAAAAAAACAAAACATAGTTGAAAATTATACTAAGAAAATGTTGTATGAGAGAGTACCATGTATGAAGAGTATAACATAAATATAAATATATATATAATCCGCTCTGGTTTGCTCTGCCAAAGATGTAATTGACAACAGCAGCTATCAATGCAGCACACTCAATCCCTCATGTCTTTCTACACTCATCATGCTTTTCTCCTGAATATAGGAAATATCAGTGACTCTTAAAAGCTAGAATGTATTAAATTGCTTTTAAGGGCAAGGCCAAGTTTATTTGCAAAGCACATTTAACGACAAGGCAATTAAAAGTGTTTGACATAAATAGAAAAGGCATCATGACTGTTATAAAAAGAATAGAAGCCAAATGAAAAGGGTTGCATAGAGGACAAAAATACATAAGAAATTTGTAATTTTGCGATGTAATATAAAAAGCATTTATTTAAAAGAACTAAGAGTCACAGCAGACCTGCAGCTCTACAGGAGCTGGTTCAACATATGTAAAGCATAAAAACGTAATGCTTTTTGTCTCTTGGGACAGAAAGCAGACCTGTGGGGTCTGGACGGCTCGTGATGCAGCAGTAGATCAGAAATGTATTTTAAACTGTTCAGTTGCTTTATAAAACACAAGCTTTATTTGTATGTAAATGATTTTATAGACATGGAGCCATCTCCCTGAGTTTGATGGTGCTTTTGGGCCTAATGTCATTAGCATCCTAGTGTGTGCATGCTGCTGAGCCCAGTCATATGTCGGACAGGTCCCCCACCACCTTCTGAATAACAGGAAGGATTAACAGGATGTGGTGGTTATTATAGTTGACTATTATACAGTGATCTACATTCAGACAAGCTGTAGGCATATAAGGGTTGAGTTAAGGTGACTATTTGTAATTTATTTTTAAAGTATTTGATGCTTCTATAAAAGTGTCATGGCGGAGTGAGAGCACAGTTTCTGGTCTTTGTGCTCTTTTCCTTCAGAGCTAAAGAGGTCGAAACCCATGTGAATAGGAAACCATGTCTCTATGAAAACCAGTGTGGACTGCTACACATTTCCACTAAACAGAGCAGATCATTTGATAAAGTGGTCATATGACAACAGGGAGATAGCAACAAATCACGTTTCTTGGTTCCGTCTTAAGCGTTTTGTTTTCTTGACCTTTACACGCGATCCTCAGTGATCATTCGTGCTCTTATACATCAAAGAGACATGAATGTCCGGTTTGACTATAACCAAAGAACACGGTCGACTTCAGAGATTAACATTACATCCTCTGACTTCATTATGTGTCAGCCTGAGAAAATACTGCAAACAACTGTACCAGAATGGAAAAATGTAGAGCCAACCTTGACTCTCTTCTCCTTATGAAGCCTGGTCTCCTGTGGATTATTTGTGCACATGTGCATGTATTTCTGATTGCGCACACAGGATTTGTTGGTATGGTATGGATTACAGCAGTTTATCTGCAAGCTGTACAGGCAGCCTATAGAAGAAACTGCTGCTAAATAAAGCAACAGAACTGTTCTAGTCGTTCTACATGTGATTTTAAAAAGTACTTAGAAACAAGGCAATGCATTAACACACTGATAAGAGCAGCAGCCTGAATACTTTGAACCCACCTGTCGATGAATGAAGACTACAGATCCCAGGAGCCTCCATGTTCCCCCCTGTCGATCCACGTGCAGCATGCGCAGGATTTGGAGGAACCGGATGCCCCTGCAACACATAACACAAACTCATCTGTCTCATCATCTTCTGATCGCTTGTCAGCTATGTGAGAAAAATAATAAAATAATGCAGAGCGAAAATAACTGCTGTACCTGATGGCAGACGTGGCGAAGACTTGGCCATTGGACCCAACACCGAGCACAATGATTGAGGCAATGACCACTATTAAATCTGTGAGATGGAAAAGAGACACACAGACAAAACAACAAAAAAGATTATCGTAAAATCAGGGTTACAATCATTTCAGTTTTAATGAAGCTGTGCACGAGAACAAAGTTTGAATGATCTTAGTTTTTAATCTACGAGACAAATCCATGAGATTAAATGGGAACAAAGAAAAATGCCAGGTGCACCTATGATTGATATGGGCTTCCTGATAAAGCGGAGGCGTCCTTTGATGCCTGAATATTTGTTGCGACAGCCTGCTGACCACAGCCGCACCACGTACTCCGTGCCAAAGAAAAGCACCAGCACAATCTCCTGCGGATCACAATGCAAACAACATGAGCAAGGGTTACATTAATCCATATGTACAGAGACAATCATTGCAAAACACATACGGGATGAGGGCAAGTGGAAGCAGATAAGGTATCATTTCTAAAAGCGCTGATAACACTGTGCCGTGCATTAAAACTCACCTAAAAGCAATGAGGCCAGTTTAATCAATCATCAAGATTTACGATGTGATAGGAGAGGGTAATGACAGGTGTGTGAGGCGGAGAAAGAGAGACACTGAGGTGGTCTAGTTAGGACCAAGACCACCAAACCACCCAGGAGGAAAGATGGACGTTGATAGCATGGCTGATGACAGCTCATATTAAGACAGGGTCAATGGCTAAGTGATGGAAGCCCCTGGATGAAATGCCATCGCACTGCCTGACAGATAAGAAGAAAAAATAATCAGCTCTGGTGTCGAAACACCTAAAGACAGATAAATATACTTGTTATGAAAAATCCACAAAAGAAAGTTTATGCCAGAGCTGTGTAATCATGCACCTATAGACCTATTGAGTTTCCACGATGTGCCACTGTGCATTGTGTTTTCCTTGAGCGTGCATGCATGTGTGTCCTCTCTGAACTAATTAAGTCCGTCTGATGGAGATCACTTTCCTGGTCACTGCGTATCCATAATATTTGGCCACTATACTGTCTGTTTGAATGTGAGCCTGTGTGGGTGGCCATCTCGTTGATTGCTTGAACTGGCTGCTCCCTGACCGCCCCTTATATGAAACTTAATACCTCGAGCCCTGCTGCAATAACACAGCACCACACAGCCCCAAAAACAATGAGCTGCCAATCACACCAGATACGACTCAGTGTCACTTTCGAGTATCAGAGAGAAAATAAGTTAGTGCTTTTGTGTATCTTAAGTAATAGCTTTTACAACAGTATGTGTGTAAAACTTATAGTGACGAGGCAGACAGAATGACAGGTCTGTTTTGGCGCTTTTTACATTCGAAGTTTGCCCATATTCAAAAACTCATCATTTCTACAGCTTTAGAGTTTGAGCTTGAGTGGTCTGGCGTGGTATTCCTATATACTCCCTAATCGACTCCATGAATTGCTAATTTTCTGCCACTGAGTTTAAAAACTAAGAAAGAGGAAGAAAAAGGAAGAAAAGAAGACGGAGACTGGCCGAAATGGTTCAGTAAACCTCTATAACATACCCTGATAATTAGGCTGAAATGGTTTCACTTCACAGAACAAACTAGAAGGGCAGTTGGAGCGCTCGACCTCCGCAAATTCTAATGCCCTAACTCGCCCTGTTAAAGAAAAGAGGGGGGAAAGAAAATCCTGTTTTATGCTGCTCCAAAATTTAAAAGGGCCGTCCATGGGTCGTGCTCCACCCTTCCAAAAAAATGTCTTTGTTTTTATTTCTTGAAGAATTTTTATTTTTTTTTATTTTTAACTAATGTTAAAAGTCACACTAAAACATCAGCACACACACTCTAGTCCTTGTGCCGACACCCATTTCATCAAGCTTCAGTAATTATGACATCTGGGCCACATTTGAAAGTCAAAGGTACACATGAATTGGTGGAATTTGAAGAGATTAGTCATAATAATTCCATAAAGTGGGTCACCCAGATGTTGGGGTGTTTTTTGTGTGGTTATCAGAAACTGGCAAGATCTTGTTTACTGAAAACAGCCGCCTGTTCACGCAGGGGTAATCTCATTCAAAGAGCTGCGAGGGAATTACAGTATCAGATGAAAATGTGATTAGATTGCTTCATCTGTGTCCCGCTACACAGGAGATACACGTAAACACACACACACACAGTCACTCATTACTAAATCTAGATTTACCTGAGCTTCACAAAGCTTTAGCAACTCGTGGATGTTTGACAATTCAGAGTAATGGCCTTGTTATTAATGTTGGATTCCGGACAATAACGTAAATCCCATATAAATTGCACATGTTTCCTCAGAGGTCAGTTGGTTTAAAATACTTTTCTAATCACGTGGCAAAATCATCTCCACTTTGCAGGTACTGGTGCTGCTGATGTGGTTTTAGTATGAATGTGAAAGTGGATTTTAATATAAAAACTGCATATTTGGTGATTACCAACCATCAACTTTCAAAAAAACATATTGTGGCACAGTTCTCGAGGGGAAATTTTATATTGAGAGTCGTGCTAAATGAATTAAAGCCCTATTGTTGTCTGCCCCCACCATCGGTCACACAACTTATGGGTGATAAGTAATGGCCAAAAATGTTCACCATGATGTCCATACAAAACAGACTTTTGACATTTTATCATCGTTGAATCATATTTTCCCAAAGATACATTTGTCACTATGAATATATAACCTAATTATGGCACAAATTCTCAGTTATGATTATCTGTGTGACCACCGAAATCGAATCAGTTCATCCTGGATGCAAAGTGAAGGTTTGTGCAAAATTTGAATAAAACCCTGAGAGGTGTATCTGAGAGATTGAGTTGACAAGAAAGGACAGACGGGCAAAACGACAGACACACAAGAAAACCAGAAGGTAGTTTGTGGAAAACTGGGCAAACACAATGTTGGACACAAGAAAATGAGGAGAATAGTGACGTGATTGTGGATGGGAATTGACTGAATGTAAGACCTTTGATGATCAGATATTTTATGGAACAAAATTGAAAATAATACAGCACCAGGCATAGTTGTGCACCTATATGGCAAAGGCAGAAACATAGTTAAACATTTTGAAATAGGGAAGCAATGAACAAGACCGAGGCAGAAGAGAGGACAAAGACGAGATCCGTGTGACACGTGTGTGTGTCTGTCTGTCTGTGTGTGTGTGTGTGTGTCTGTGTGCCTGCAGGCCTCCTGGCCAGCCTGGCTTTACTTTGGCAGCTGCCCTGAAGGCCAAATATCCTCAAGGACGAATGTCCCTCTCAGCCATTCAAAACAAGCAGAGTGCGACTCATGGATGTCAGCTTACTCTGAAACTTCTAAGTTTAGCTGCCTCCACCAGTATATGCCACCATGACACCACTCGCACAGCTCCACCCCCTCAAACAAACACACAGATACACACACCTACACCACGATAAGGCATTTTCTTATCTCGCAATTCATACTGAAGCAAACCCATCCATAACCATGTCAAAAGAAAAAGCTAAGTAGCAGTAATGGATATTTTTTTATTCTTCGTTATATCGTTGTGGGACTGATAACTACTTATATGTTGAGTAATGAAGCAGCAGAAACAAGGTGTGGAAAGACGAGGGTGGAGCCAGAGACAGAAAAAAAGAAGGGAGAGGCTTGGAGAAAGAGTTAGCGATAACGATGGAGAGTATTTGGCTCTTCCTGAGTATAAATAAATGAATAACTGTGATAGTAGGTCTTCAAAGGGCACTGGCCAAACGTTTACAGAACACAGTGTCCACTCTGTCCTCTGGTTGCCCCTGGGACTCAGGAGGTGGTAGATGTGTTTGTTCTTATGGGTGTGTGTGTGTGTGTGTGTGTGTCTGTGTAAATTGTGCATGAGTATGCGGTAGCTACATGTGTATTTATATTCACAGTGTGCTGGCAAGAGACAGATGACAGCAGCCGTAATTCTCTCGTACCTGTTGTAAGCCCTGGATTTATTGCATCATTTAGCAGCTTTAACAGCCTAATAAGTCACAAAATAATCAATTTAGCAGCAAGTGTCAGCAAGTAGAGTCTGCGTGGAGCCAAATGTTCTGCACAACTAGTGGAATCACAATAGATTTAAAAACAATGCCTCCTGAGCATGTAATCTATGTGCACGATGTTGCTTACAGTCAAGTGTTTAGGGTGGATATAATGCAAGCTGGTCAAGTGGATTAACTTTTTAATAAGTGCAAGATATGAATCTTTTTAAAATCTTTGTGTTGAGGTGTAAGATGGCGGGTAAGACCCAACCCAACCAAGATCCTCTGTCTCCATCATGTGGACACAGGTGGGTACTGCAGTAAAGCATAAACACCCATGTGTCTTTTTTTCTGTTTAGAAAATAGCACTTTTGAGTTTTACACAAAAAAAAGAATGTCAAGTGTGTTATTGTTAGTATGCATCACCGAATTCTCTCAGCAGAGCAGTGATAACTCCTAAATGAACAGATACGTCACAATTTTCAATGAATGGATTAAATGTTAAATTCACACAGTAAAAGTTATCAGAGCTTCAAATGTTTATTTTAGGGCTAGCAAAACTTTAAAACCCCAAATCATTTTACAGTGGTATAATCAAGAAAGAAAAGCAGCAAATCATTGAATAATTCAAACTAATGCCTGTTTCCCATCAACTTGTGGGTTTGTCTGTACTATTGATGCAACCATATACCTGCAATAACCCACGAGTCAGTCATGAATATGGATTTGAGCTTGTTTGAGAAAGAACACAATGAAAGTACTCACCATCCAGAAGAGGGTTCCAGTGGCAAAGTCTGCATACTGCTCTATAGTTGACAAGACACTGAAGATAAGACACACCAGGACCATGACAAAGCTGTGGAGAGGGACAGTGTTTTCATGTCAGGCGTCACCACAAATTCAATTTCACAGGGTAAAAAATTGTACATAGAAATAAAAGCATTTATTCTTTTCAATTTTATGAAGAGCATTTTAGTTTTAAAAAGGCATCAATCACTTCATTTGTTTTCAAAGAGGAATTTGTACATACATGGTCTACAAATACAAATTCATGAGGGGGACATCCCCAAGCTAATTGAAGGTGAGGGTAAAGGAAGAGGAAAGAGGCTGCAACAAATTATTATTTTCATTATTAATACATTTTCTGATATGTATTTATCAGGGGCTATTAATTATAGGCTGACATATGAACGTGTTTACATCTTCACACATGCATTAACTTATTTCATCATATACATTACATATATAAACAAGCATACACACACAAACACAGACTTCCAAACACTGTATGATAACGTATGGACTTAAGACTGAGACTGCTTTCCCATTCACACATTTTCAGGTTTATATGGGTTTATTTTTTATTATATAGTTTTTGCTTCTTTTTTTTCATCTGCTATTTCTGTACAACTTTTGGGAATTTTTCGTAACTTTCACTTGAGACATTTATAAAATGAGTTACTTACTTCTTCAACCACTGCACTGTTCATTCACTTAGTCACTCATTCATATTTTTTTAAGGAGCTCATGAGGGGCCTTTTCTGTTTTCCAGCAGAATCAGCCTTGTTGCGTTTTCCCCATGCAGGAAATAATCCTTGGGACACACACATCTTTTAAGTGCTTTTACATGACGTTTGCATGCACCACCATCACGATCAAGCTCACTTTAAAAACACACAGCAGTGGGTGCATTATGAGGCTGTGGACTACAAGCGGGATTACATGTCATATGCTTGAAGGGTTATGTAAGTATCTGTTGTTTAATATTATTCATGTAACATAAAATAATCCAGAAACATGTGCAGTATAGATTCCGGCCGAATGGATGAACTGGATGGAAGATGTGGATTTTGTAGCACACAGGAGGTTTGATCAACAATGTTAGAAAAAGGTGATATTTCTTTACTGAATCAAACGCCCCCTTGAGGCCAACTTCGATACGCGACATGATTCAGATAAAAGGTGTGCATTGTTTCAAAAAAGGTCTAATATCTGGTCTGTCAGTGGTAGCATAACTATGAGACAGTTGTTTAATGGAAGGTAAGACTCCTGAGGGAGGATTCCCTTTACACACGGACTATGAAACATTAGCCAGATGGGACAGTGATTTTACTCAATGGAGGATTACTTCTCACAACACCACCCCCTCACCCGCCCCAAAATTACACACACAACTCCCTCTCTCGGATGCTGCTTCAAACATAAATGCAGGCAAAATACAGAAGCATTGGAACACAATGTTCTGAGCGTATTTCTGGACCTCTAAAGACGCCAGTCATCAGCAGGAGGGTGAGCTGAGGTGACATCATCTGCTGCCATTCAGTGCAATGTCATGAACTTTCCATTTTTTTTCATCCAGGCTGAGGCACAGACTCAACCTAGGGTGGTGATGAGTGAGTGAGGGTGCTATCTTGGTTTGCTCCTCTCTTTGCTCTGCAGTACTGGACAGCCACATGTCTTGCACTGGCTACTCGTCTGAGCCTTCAGCTTTGAAATCAGCCAGTCACATCTTGGTGGATGACACTTGGAGGTAGCCAATGAGATTCCACAGTTTGACACGCCCTCTGTGTAGTGTCCTCGCCATATGGGACTGAAGGATTTTAGGTGTGTATGACAACTGAAAAGTAGGCTTAAAGCCAGTCCAAGCTCTGCAGAGTGCATGCTTTTGACTAAAAGCCAAACCCCTAGGACACCATGTGAAGTCAAAGAGGAACAGGAACAGTTACAGCCTATTCAACTACAACTACATTTAATAGTTATAAGTTAGAATAGTTAAAAGTTCAGACGTGAGAAATAAAGACTGAATAAGAAATTAAGGATGATTGCAGCAGCTCTTGAAAGTCAACTGCATTGCAATTATTCATGAAAATGTAGATAGTATTAAAATTAAAAAATAAATAAAAACAGTGACACTCTCTAAAAAAAATATCTTATATGATGCAAACAAACTGGGTGGCATTAACTATTTGGGAGAAAAGAGAGCAGACAGACGAGGGCAGGTAAAGTCAACTCAAAACCAATTTTCCTTGTGTTGAAATGAGATCATCCTATTAGGATGAGCATAAATATGATGTCATGGCCATGTAGGTCATTGACAAGGTCCAGTAATCTGTGTTCTCTTCAGTACCTGGGACTATGGCATTTGTTTGATTTTAAATGGATAACATTGTACTGCAATATCCCAGAAATACTGCACCAACAGTGGGCTAAATGTCAGAATAACAGGATAGGTCATCCAGCACAAGGCTGCAGCCAGTTCTGTATTCCATGTGACTCATTGGAGCAACATGACTGTAGTATATTCTCTGGTTAAAATCTAAATGGCCTCATGTCAGCATAGCATTGCCATTTAAGGAAGCATTGAGTATATAAAGCATACGGTATATTGTGGTACACATTTGGGATGTTTTTTTTAAGAAAACTCTTTCAGAGCACAAACATTCTAAACATTTAACTGAGGGGGTACCCCATATATCAAAATGCCCACTGTGTTACACAGGCACCCTGACACACAGTGTTATTAGTAAGTGAGTGAACCATTGATAACATCAACACACTCTTTTTGCCCTTTTCAGACATGAACTCCACAAGATTGCCAAAACATTTGTTTTGGACATTTTTCTTGAGATTGCCTTTCACGTATGAAAAACGCAGAAGGAGGTCCTGTCTGATTTTGGAGGGTTTCTGGGTCACACCATAGATTGGGTTGACTATTTGGGGAGCTGATGTTGCCCTTCTTTAGATAAAATGTTTCGTCGCCACCTGGTGTACACATTAAATATTTTTTTCTCCAAGACAGTTTCTGTCATTTTAGGTAGTTCTTATCACACTGACGTATATTGGCCAACAAGAGTTCATTTTTCCAGTAATTTTGGTTTTAATTAGATATCTGATGCTATAAAATGGGGTGAAACATCACGATTGACAGCTGAATGACTGTGTATAGACTGAACCTCGCTATCACGCCTCCATCCTCAAGTGTCTACGGCGCAGTCTCTTGCTCCAAATGCACAAGATGGCAGCATAGTGAAAATGACCTAAATTGCCATGTTTCATGTTCTCTGAAGTTTGACACTAATATCCCTTGACACATAAAAACAAGATTAAGATTCAATAAAACATTATACAACATGTCAGGCTGTGTACAGATCATAGCTGGATGGAGTGATTTAGCATTTAGCTAATGTCATATTCTTAAGCGCTCTGCATTGACACCACAGGGAGGTGTCTGCTGCAGACAGGCCTGGGTCACTCACAACCATTAGCCAACCTTATTTAGCCAGGCCAAAACCTCTGAGATCTGATTAAAATAAAACAGCTGGGGCTTTAGTGAGTATTACTGACTGCAGATCCAACAAGCTCCAAGTGCAGCGCAGAGCCACACCAAACTCCATCGACTGAAACTAAGGCAATATAAGCTTAGAATAACATCATCTAAATTCTTGTCCGACTTATGGGATGTAGAATGCAGGTATAAGCAATTGAGTGCCTATTGCGGGCAGCACTCTGCTCTCCTTCTGCTTTCAGCCTGTTACGGTTTCCAAAAGTATGTCTACTATGAGGAACAGTGAGAGCAACCCCTGAGCAACACACTGAAAATGGCCTGTTTGGATGATGTGGATCATCAAATAGCACAGTCGACATACGTCTTTCACCGTTTGTGTTCGGCCTTTCTTTTAAAATGTAGACGTGTCAACAAGGGCATCAGATCAAGCACATTTTCAATAAGTGTTTTACTGAGTTGGACTATTCCACCGACCCAGGACTTCCCGACCCTCTTTACCTGAACCCACACATCTGACACTGCCCCCCCCCCCATTACAAGAACTATCTAGTGCAGTGTGAAAAACTACTTTTTGAAGCCTTGAACATTTCTCTACTGACTCTATATCCAGCGTACATTCAAAACAACCCAGCCTGTAGATCTCACATCTACTTACCTTCACCCTAACAACTCACTTTCTTCTCACTTTGAACCATTCACTGACACTAGTGGCAGCCATGTTGTTTTTACAAAAACACCTGATCAAAGTCCCACCCTCAGCAAAAGCTCCGCCCAGTATCCCAGCCAATCTTCTTTTTTTTTTTGTATCTCATTAGAACACTGAAACATATTCCTGCATTTTTTTATGTCCTGCCACTAACTTGTCAACACTGTATTGAAAATTATTTTAAATATTTATAACAATACATTTACATATAAAATGCTGGCAATAAAGAAACACTGCTATGGCTGTTTGTACATACTGGCTGTATGTGTGCTCCCATAATAAATGTCTTGGTGTTTGGTGACTGAACATCCTTTATGTTTACATATTTGTCGAACACTTAGGTTTCTTTGGGGTTTAACACATCTCCATTCTGAGGCTGCTCCATACATCACATGAGAAATTTTAACAAGTATAAACTTCAATAAGCAAATTGCCCTGGACATCCGTGTTCGCTCTTTCCTGACCCCCCCTCCTCCACATCCCATGTACAGAGGAGCTTAGCCTGGATTACACCACATCAGCCACCAGACGCAAATGTAAATATTCCATCCTGGCTAAGCTATGATCTCGTCCACCACATACTTGGAAAATAAATGTAAATCTTCTTACAGGTTAAAGGACGAGATGAATGTAAAGAGAAAAAGCTGGGGGAGATATCAGACAACAGCAGCAGTTTCGTCCGGAACCACTGACTTCAGCAGATGTATGTCAGATTCAGCATCAGTTACATGCCGCTGTCAATTCATAATTCCTTAAGCTTCCCTAAGCTTCATTTATACACCAATGCAAAGTAAACAATTACAATAGGGAATCATGTTCAAGCCACCTTTTCCTTTTTTTAAGTTCACATGGTCTCGTGCCTCATGCCGACATCCTTTGATTCCATAAAAAACTAAATAACCCTCCGAGGTAGAAAATTATTTTTTAATGACTGGTCATGAATTGGCTACTGATAGCCATTTAAGATGCATAAGAAAGAAATTGTCTCACAACGTTTGAAATATCTGATTGGCATTTCTGATCGCCCTTTATTGAGACCACCGATCATACCAATAGAATGAGTATTAGCTGAGAGGATAAGGTGGGTCAACTTGTGTAAAACTGACTTGCTTGTATGTCAATTAGTCATGTCAGAAATAATTCAAA